CTTCTTATTTCAAGAAATCTTACCAAGAGAATTTTCACTTGTTCCATTTGCAGATTTTGTTTTCATAATTGTTTCCACTTGTTTTTGGAGCAGCCTTTCTTCCAGTGCAGGTGGTGGTATACTTTAATGTTGAGCCCCTTGTTGCGGTGACACTGATAGATAAGGCCTGACTGCTGACTCAGGCAAGGACAGAAAAGTAAACGAGACACACTTCGGCCACATCTCGATAAGCTTAACCCACTTGTCATCGCTGCGATTACCAGCCTCGAGGTGCAGAGAGATTGAATTCATCCGGCAGCTGGAGGCTTCAGAGGGAGGAGATGGAGTGATTCAAAAGAAAAGTGATGTTTGTGATCGTATCAGGAAACTTCTATCGACCTCAAGCTTCCCTGGCTAAAGGGCTCTTTCACAATGCCGTATTATGTTGTGGTTCTTCTTGTTAAAGTGTCATTGATATAAGTTAGCATAGCGTCACCATCTTTATCAACTTTTACCTGTTTTTAAGCTTTTAAATGAATTGTTAATCACTTATAGCAGTTTCCAGGTGAGTTGTGAGGAGTTGCTGGCTGTATGAGAGCAGCACGTCTGCTTTATAAAAGAAAACTATGATTTTATAACCATTCTCACTGCCTGAACGTTAGACACAGGTCCACACTGTAGGTCTAACCATAGTGTGTTAAATAATCTTTCATGTTCAAATTATGAGAGCCACAAATTTGGCAATCGCTAGCTAGATAGCTAACGTTCACTATACTAGATAGCTTGTTAGATGGGTAGCTAAGGTAAGCTAGCTTATAAGGAGATAGATAGATGGATAGATGGATAGATAGGTGGATGGATGGATGGATGGATGGATGGATGGATGGATGGATAGATGGATGGATAGATAGATAGATAGATAGCGTTAACCAGCTAAATAGCTACAATTCCAACACAGTCTCACGGCATTTCATGTTATAGTCATGAAATTAATCTATTGATTCGTGTTCACCAACACGATTTCCCCATTTCTTTCGTGTCACACAGAACGATTTTAAAAGCAATGTAAATAATAACAAATTAGAAGGAAAAAGACATTTAAAAAAATACAGATTTCAGTATTCTGACACAGAACGATTTTAGAAGCAATGTATTTATATTGATAGTATGTTTCGTGCCTGCACCAAATAATAACAAATTAGAAGGAAAAAAAGATGACATAAAATACAGATTTCAGACTCCCGAGGAGTGAACCGTCCCGTCCACCAGGATCTCAGAACAGCACTCGCTTCATTCTATCTTTCTATCGTCAAAGAAAGGCTTGTATATTTTGGATATTTTTAACATTTTCAAGCTTTATAAGAAACCCACATTTCAACTTTAACAATTCTGATTCAAAGTGTTTTTGAATAAGTGTTAAGAAACTGCAAGAGACAGACAATCAGCACTTTCTTTTCTGGAATAAATAAGTTTCCCTGTGGAGTTTCATTTCAATCAAACAATGGTTCATTTTAAATTCAGTGTTATTCACCAAAACCAATTGAGGTTTTAAGTGTGTTGAAACTGTTTCCTCCAAAAACATTTGCAAAGCCCATTTTCTGAGTATTTTGAATCCTGCATTTTTTACATAGATTTTTTTTTTTGTGCATTACCACCACCAATTTTCTATTTGCACACTTACTTGTGGGGGTGAAGTTGCATTGTGGGTAATGTAGGCACCAGGTTTAGTCAAGAAGTTAGAGATGAGTGTAAAAAAGAGACAATCTTTTAATGGTTTTACTGCATCGATTATGATTCTCTGCCCATTGTGAGTCAGACGGGTTTTAGCAGAGTGCTATGCTAATAGAAACTCTTTTAAGGACAGATGTATGTGCATGATCCTGTGCATTACCACACATACAATATGGATATTTGTGCAGATAAAAAATCTGACCCACAACTGGTCCTAGAGACAAACCTTCGCTGTAAAAAGAGATGTCTAATAGGCTATTTGATATAAAGGAGACTATGTGATAATGATAGTTTTCAAGCAGTGTTAAAGGTGGGGTATGTAATTTATTTCAGAAACACTTTTTGTTATATTCCATGGAATGCTCTTAACATCCCGATAGCAATGAATATATTAAATGCTTTGACAATAAATACATTAAAAAAATGTCATCTGTGGAAGCCGTAGCGCTGTGAAAAGCACGACCAATCATTTTAGCCGGCCCGGCTAAAATAACTGGATGGCCTACCTGCCTGTCAGCCTTCCATCTGTGCACAAACTTATCTCGTGCCCTCATTGGTCATGTGCGCGTTCGAGTGTGTGTTGGAGGAGGGGCTCTGTAAGGAAGTCTGAAGGAAGGGGCAGATTTTTTCCGGTTGTGTATTTTCAAATTCGAGCGCACTCAAGCTGGTTTCTCCAAAATTACCTACCCTACCTTTAACAGAATAAATAACAGTTTTTTTCCTGATGCATAAAAGGCAGTGCTAGACTCAAAATTCAACGTTTTTTTTCTGTATCACAGCAGAGAAAAGTATTTTATAAAGAATGCCATAAATCCAGTTACATTACACGTCCTTGTTAGGATATGTGATGATTATATCGTTTGTAAGGAATATATACAGAACACATAACTGTTTTATCAGATGCATATAAGAGGCAGTGCTTGATTTAAAATATTACCAAGTTTTTACTGTATCACAGCAGAGAATATTCTTTAAAGAAATCCTAATTTATGTCCTTGATTCAACAGCAGAGCCATTTGTCAAATTGTAAAATCATTTGCGATATCATTTCTGTCGTCTCATTTATTTTCCACTGTTGATTTTCTTTTGGCAAGCTCCCCACACGTCGACCACAGACAGAATCTTAAAGAGCTCCGATGATAGAAACCTTTATTTGACGTCCTCCCTGTGAGACTTCCCTAAATATGTGATGATGATATCGTTTGTAAGGAATATATACAGAATACATAACTGTTTTATCAGATGCATATAAGAGGCAGTGCTAGATTTGACCAAGTTGTTACTGTATCACAGCAGAGAATATTCTTTAAAGAAATCCTAACACATTACATGTCCTTGATAGGATGCAACAGCAGAGCCATTTGTCACATTTTAATGTAAATGTGTGATATATCATTTCTGTAATCTCACTTCTCTTCCTCTGCTGATTTTCTTTTGGCAAGCTCACCACACGTCGACCACAGACAGAATCTCAAAGAGCTCCGATGATAGAAACCTTTATTTGACGCCCTCCCTGTGAGACTTCCCTGCGCAGTGTTTACCACTCGATGGATGCTCGGGAGGGTCACTCCTGTGTGAGAATAACAACTTAATTAAAACCCACAAGCCTCGTTTGTTGCCCTCCCCTTATAGACGGTGAACAGTGTTTACCATTCTGCGCGTCGACCCTTTGATTCAAGTTTTCCGACACCCTTCGAACACAATCAGTCCTCGTTTGAACACAGTCTCAACTACTCTCGGGGAACCATACATATGCATGAGCTTCTGTTTTACACACACTTGATGCGCAGCAGCCCTTCCCGTCGCACTCTAACAAGCCGCTTTCCTTAAAGTGTTTAGTCCTCGTTAAAACATTTATTTGCAACATTACGCTGCATTAAGTCCTGCTAAGACACATTAGTATAACATTCTTTAAACATCTGATGAAGAATAGCATCGTGGGGGTGATTGTGAACCTACGGAAACACAGCGTACCAATGAATTGTAATGTCTCTTTCTGTTCCAAAAACATACACAAAATGATCCGACACATGACAGCAGGTGTTTGCAACTCTTCGTTGACATGTTGAAAGATAGGAAACGTCTCAATAAGGGACTGACCAAAAATGATTTGTAGTGTGACGAAAAAATTACTTAAAAACCTTTGCCCTAGAATATTAAATGTCGAGGGCTTTTATTGTCAAAGGTAATAAGGAAAGGATGTAAGTTCTGTCTTAGCCAAGGTTGAAATAACTAATTCTCTTCTGTCTTCGTACGTGTTGTTTAAAGAGGATATGAATGATGCTAATGTCCAGGTTAATATTAGTATTTAGTGTCTCTACTGTGACATGTTGTGATCGGTCAACCGCTTAGAGATGTCCCGCCCCTTACCCTATAACGTACAATGTGTTGGAGTTACATAGTGATGTCACAGATTTACTCACGTTCTGTATAAAAGTTGTCATAACAAAAACAACTGCGCCAACTTAAATATTGATACGCAAATTAGTAAAAATGTCTAAATCCACTTCTTTATTTTAACGTTAAATAGCATCTTTTATTTGGCTTAGTATTTAAATTATTTAATCCCTTGCCTCTTTTAGTTTGTAATAGTGACAGGGTGTTGGAGAGGCAATTTTCTCCGAATTAACGAGAGGGGTCCAAATAAAATATTTATAAACCTGGGAGTGGGAAGATCGTGCTTTTCAAAACATAACATTTAACCCCCCCTCCGTCTTCACCTCAAAAATGTTTGGTACAGTCCCAAAGAGATGTCGGTTAGCTTTTCCATGACCTACTATAATGCACATTACTGTATGTGGAATTTAAAAGATGTTTTAATCATCACTGCCTCCCTGGCGACATTAAGATAAGTTACACTTTCTGCAGAGTGTCTGTAATAGCCGTAATAAAGAGGAACAACAATTTCCTAGTGGTCGACGCCAGAGACGGTGAATCATCGCCGTGTTAAAATGTAATGGCACCATAACGGCCCGTCCACACGGCAGGAGCTTCAACGCTTCTGCCCATTCACTTTGAATGGGGTGACGTCACGCTTTGCCGAACTGCATTGTGGTTCCGTCGCTTCTACTTTTGAAGCTTCGACGGAAGCTTCAGCCAATCAAATCATATGCCAGTACAAGCTCTAGCCAATCAAACCGCGTCCTTGTGTGTCCGGGGGCGGGAGATTCATGTGATTGGTTGTTGGTCGAGTTTCAGACACGCCCACCGGCAAGCTTCAACGCCCGCCGCCGTGTGGACGCTGCGTTACGCTGAAACATTATATGAAAAAAAACATTCATTTCCCAGGATAATACTTTAATATACCCACCTCTCCCTCTCCCTCTCCCTATCAGGAGAGCAGCTACAAAGCAATGCAGGCACTATGACTGTAACACTTTCACACAAAAAAAAAAAAAACACATTTCTGTCACCTCATTGTGTTTGAGAAGAGCCGTCCAGGTTAGTTTGTGTGCAGTTTACAGAGTCTCTGTCTCTCAGTGAGGTAAGAGGTGTGTGATTGGGTCATTTGTCCTACACTCACCCAGCGATGCACACAAATATACATTTATCTCACAGAGAGTCCCGTCTCCTTTCCTCGAATGAGTCCTTGTATCGTGACACTTTGAAGGTCCGTTAGACTTCCACACAGGAAACGTCGTCCTCAGCCAATAGATGAGAGCAACCCATGTGGCCCCGCCCCTTTTTGGGTGAAAATTCGCTGTCATTTCCCTGGCAGTAAATACAGATTCCTCTTTTCTCCAATCAGATCAAACATTTAAGAAAACCGTGCTTTTTTGTATACATGGAGCCCAAATATGTTAGTTAGGCAAACAATTACACAATGTCCTTTAAGATCGATCAACGCGTTGATTTATGGTTTAATTTAAACAAATAGGGGAACATAATTTAGCCGTGTTTAGGTATTTCCCACAGACTTACACGTATTGACTGACCGGATCCCTTTAATTACGTTTTTCGTCCTCTCTGTGGAGCCTGAAGCCACATATTTTACTGTCCTTTTAAAAGGTAAGAAAGTAAGAAAACCCTAATTTGTAATCCTTTACATCCTGTAAGCTTTTAGACAAGATCAAAGTATATGTTTCCACTTCGCACTCATGCTTTGTTTTCACCCGAAAGTAAGCGGGGCAGGAATTTCGCCAGGCATTGACGTAGCGCTGCTCTCATCTATGAAGTGACAGATAATTAGTCCACAGGCTCCAGGGGTTAAAGGTCGCCGCTCTGAGGGTCCGTTCTGGTCTCCGGGTTGCGGCTGCGGCCCAGTCGGGGGAAGCGAGAAGACGTTTTGGAGCGAGGCGTTTTGGCTCCTCCGTCGTTGGCCTGTGGCGTGTCTCTGCAGGAGAGGAAGAGAAGAGACGGGGACTTTAAATGAACATCTGGACAAGTTTGTTATTCAAACACTCCACTGATGCTGCATCTGGAGACTTAAACGCCTCATTTGCCTTCTGCCAGAGGACTTCTACTTGTGAAACCCGACATTCAAAGAAGTAAATAGAGACGATTTTTTGAGCTAAATATCTTAACTCTCAAATCGAGTAGCAAAATGGAAGTTTATTTAATTCACTGCTTGCCTTACTTTAGTCTTTATCATTATTTTTGCCAGACTTCTTTTTTTTTGTTACACATTACAAGGATAATAGAGGCAGATAAACCACTGACAATTATTACATTTTTCTTTAACCCTTAGATGCCCGAGTGACTGGACACACTCTTCCATAAGTGGGTCTAAAAGGACCCGTATTAGAATAATATGTGTTTTTATGCAATTTTTGTCATTTTGGTTAAGAAAAATCTCTTATATAATATTTAGTATTATATTTTGGTTCACACTAGAAATATTTAATATTTAATTTTTCACTATTTATAATTTTAGAAATTTCTTTTACATTTTGAAAAAAAACGTTTTCCCAGAGGATTCCATAGAAAATGCATGCGGGTCAGTTTTGACCCACTTATGGAAGCTTGGGGTAGTAATACAAAAACTACAATTTCTTAAAATGTAAATTAAAAATGTGAATGGCATGATATCCAAAACATGTTTTTTGAGGAATAGCTGGAATATGAAAGGATACATTTTTTAAATTACAAAGATACTTCAAGAAAACCACCTCACCGGGTCCAAAAAGACCCACTTATGGAAGCTTGGGGTAGTAATACAAAAACTACAATTTCTTAAAATGTAAATTTAAAATTAGAATGGCATGATATCCAAAACATGTTTTTTGAGGAATAGCTGGAATATGAAATGATAAAAAACTGTAATTACAAAGATACTTCAAGAAAACCACCTCACCGGGTAAAAAAAGACCCACTTATGCATCTAAGGGGGAAGGCTTCACATTTGTAGCTTGCAACAATACATTTTTGCAATTAAAATGAAATCAGATTTTTAGCAGTTGTAGCAAGGTGGCTAACCAGGCTAATGTTAGTGGATTGAAGAGACCATCTACAGTAGACTTTCATTGTTTTAAACTACACAAATTATATGTTTTTTGTCGGTTTGTTTGACTGTTGGTCAGCAGAGTTACTAAAAACTGCAAAAAAACTAAAACTATGGGCTAAAGTTTCTTGCAACTTGTTAGGAAATGGCATTGGCAATCTTCTAAATCACATGTGTCAAACTCAAGGTCCGGGGGCCAAATCAGGCTCGTGGTGGATTTAATTTCGGCCCGCAGGATAATTTGTAATTACTATTAGATCTGGCCCGCCGGTATATTGCACGCACACCTTCACTCAATCCTGAGGGTTTCCTCAGCTCAGAGCCTGACCCCAAACATTGATGACCTTGCACCCAAGATGAGATGCCAAGTATCTGGCTTGAACTAGCATCACAGAGCAGCACACTGAGTTTCAATGGATGTTTCCTTCTGCACTTTTTTTCTTGAGACAACAGGGCATGTTTGTTTTGTTCTTTGAGGGAAATAGTTTTTTTGAAGCTGTTGTTGGCAGTGTTGTAGTCAAGTCACCAATTCACGAGTCCAAGTCACTCTCGAGTCACCACTCTTCGAGTCCGAGTCCAAGTCCGAGTCACCAAGGGAGAGTCGTAGTCGAGTCCGAGTCCAAGTCCGAGTCACCCAAGGAGTGTCCGAGTCAAGTCCGAGTCCGAGTCATCATTACCTGTGTTCGAGTCCGAGTCCAAGTCCGAGTCACCTAAGAAGAGTCCAAGTCAAGTCCGAGTCACAAGTCTTCATGTATTAATCTTCATGGATATATGTGTTGAAATGTAGCTGCTCCTCTACATTGCTTTTATCCTGTCATGTTATACTAATCTGTCTATTGAACTGCTGTAAAGCGAGTTTGGCTACAATTCTTGTAATAGGTGCTATACAAATATAAAGCTTATTACTAATATTATTATTATTATTATATATAAACTATGTTTAAAATGAGTTACCTTTTAGAGAAGTGATTATATTTGTATGCCAATATTTTCCTATGGTAAAGTTTTCGTTTTGCACTTTTATTTTGATAGTAATAAGATCGGGACTCTTATTTTGAAGGAACTTTTACCGGTTAAATCGGTTTACTGATAAAGATTTAGTCCCAGAAAGCACATGGCTACTTAGCATGCAAAATGACGTCATTCTGCATGTTAAGTAGCCATATGCTTTCGTGTTATCGGCTGAATCTTTATGTATTGATTAGATGACGTTACTCTGATGATAGTGTTCAAGACAGCCTATATGTCTGAACTCGATGTTTAGAGTAATGTGTTACGGAGCCTTCTCTTCAATATTGTTTCAACATAGAGCATTTTGCGCTGCTCTTTTCCAATGTGGAAGCAGAATGTGTGAAAGCATACAGCACGATGCGGGGTGTGTCTCTAGACATCTTTAGACTGGAATAGCGGGGCCCAGTACGTGAACTCGCCTCGCAGCCGGTGCACACGCCAGGATAGAGGACATCAGACTCCATAGAAAACTTGCTCGAGTCCGAGTCCGAGTCCAAGTCGGAGCGTCAATGTACAAGTCGAGTCCGAGTCATCATGGGGGGGAAAAATTCACGAGTCCGAGTCCGAGTCCAAGTCAGCGTACGCGATAATTCACGAGTCCGAGTCCGAGTCCAAGTCATCGTGCGCGAGAATTCACGAGTCCAAGTCCGAGTCGCGTCAATCAGTGCGGGAGTCCGAGTCGAGTCACGAGTCCCGAAAATCGGCACTCGAGTCCGACTCGAGTCCGAGTCCAGGACTCGAGTACTCCATCTCTGGTTGTTGGCCTGTGGGAAAATGTAATCATAAGAAATGACTCTGGAAAAGCTGCAGATAGAGCCATAAGAAATGAATGCAACTGATTATTTAATGTTTAATGTTGTTTTTATAGGCAATCATTTAAGCTTTGTTAGTTCCAGGTTTAATATGTGCAATAAGTTCATTTCAATAAGTTTTGCAATAAACATTGAACCAGTCCGGCCCTCGACTAGTACCCATTTTTTTATTTTGGCCCACTGTGTATTTGAGTTTGACACCCCTGAAATGTTCTGCTATAACAAAGAAACATGAAATGACTCCCAGTTGAACTACTGGCAGGTTTATGTCCTTGCTGTTACTAGGAATCACATTATGTGATTATGATGTTGTGGTTTTCTGAGTACTCGGTAGGAAATAATCTCGGCCACTCATGATGACATCATTGCCCTGGTTTCCCTGACGACCGTCTTCACAACGGGTGAACCCCTGATCCCAGAGTCTTGTCTGATAAGGCTGAGGATGAATGAGAGCCACTTGTCAAAAGGGAGGAAATGAAAAGCAGGGAGATTGAACGGCGGGATTTAAAATGGCTCTCTTGTTTCATTTCTTCTGAAGCAGTTAATCGGCAAGACAGTGAACTCTCACCTGCAGCCTGTGATGAATACGGACTGTTAAAAGGGTTCAAGTGCTTCTCTGACAAAGGGATGAATATTAAAAACAAGGAAAAGGCAGAGGGCAATACCCTGTTGGTGTCCCAATGGCCTTTTTTTTATTAAAGAACTACAGCTGCTACATCTGTGATTAAGGTTATCTGGACAGACCTTTTGAAACAAAAGCCGTCATGGGGCGTTGCTTTGGCTGAAAGTGTCACTGCGGGAGAAACACTTGTATTTTGAAGCAGCAGAGGCTAAAAAAGCAGCACAGTGAGAAGAGGCTCTGTCATGTTGACATAGGCTGAGACAGTAACACTGGGTTCAAGCACAGATTTCAACTAAAAGGGATGGTTTGGATGTTTTAAAGTAGGGTTGTATAAGGTTGTTTCCACAGTAGATGAATGTCTCCATGCCCCCTGGTTGGAAAATCAGGCAGAATTACAGCCATTGGAGCTTTGAGACGTCCTGCTGTGAATGGAGGCAGCAGCAAATTGTTTTCAGCCACTTACGAACAGTAAAGGTTCTGGTGTAGGTTATATTTAGAATGTTTTCACAGCGTTAACTTGCTTTCAGCCAGCCCTTTCTGATGTGAAACTGAAGCCGTCTAATCAAACTAATCTTAGCGCTTTCCAAAGCCACCAGAATCCATTGACAAGAACAAAATGAATCCTTTATTCGTCCCCACCACAGGGAAATGGACATATAAATATAGAAACTGTGGAAATTCACATTTTTGTACAGGTAAGTATTGTTATTACCCGATACGTCACTTTATACTTTCACATACAAATGCTTACCTCTAAATTCCACATGTTAGCTATACTTATTGATTGTGCCTTTTTATCTGCATTGTTCCCTTTGCTATAATAACGTGATTTTACCTCACAAAATATGGAAGTAGCTTGTTTAAATTTGACTTGATCTCTTACTTTCTAAATCTTATTTTATTTTATTTGGTGTTTTAAAGGCGTACTTAAACTGATACAGAATCTTTAAGGAGGCTAACATATGATATTTCCATCAACATCAGTCTCTCAGCTGCTTGCTGGTCCCCCTGTATGTTCTACAAACTATGGGCATGTCAACCATTTACTGTAGTTAATACACTATCAATATGCTCCTCATACAACCCCACTTTAAACAATACCTTTGAGTAAAGAACACAAACTGAGGGGGTCACAGTGTGAGCAGGTCATATGGGAACAGCCTGATCTTTGCTAATGTGACGAAGATTATTCAATTTTCTCCGGCATCCTCTCACCAGGCTGGCTAAATCCAATGCAGTCACACAATCTGAACTTGACCAAGGTTGGCCAGGCAGTGGTGCGATGGGGAATTATATCAGCAAAAAATCATAGTAAATTGGGGGGCAGCATGCAGAGCTGAAACCACCAGCCATCTCATTTATTCATATCAAACTGGGTAGAGTAGCTAAATGTGCGGAAATAATTAGGCTTACAGTTTTTGTTCTCCGGCTCTCAGCATGTACTTGTCCCCCATTTAGGTCTGATATTGACTTGTGCAGGATAATGACTTCACCAGGCACTGTTGGAATTTTAATAATTGAATTGCAGAGGTGCATAATTAGAGAAAATGGGTACACAAACATGCATCAAATTGATTGTCTAACAGCAAAAGGTGGGGTGAGATTAATAACAGTCTGAATAACAAACTATTCCCTCTACACGTCCTGTACAGGCACAAACACACAGCAACTGTATAAGTCCACAACAATAAAAGGTTATATCTTCATTGTGAAAACTAAAACTGCTCTTGACTGTGACACAAAGGTCTACAGCACTTTTCTCCGAGGCAGCAGGTCAATAAGACTGAGAGTGTACTCTGTGTTCTGAGTAAACCATGAAGGTGTCGAGCTCCTGCTGCATACTAAGTGCTGGCAGCGCTATCGGAGGAGAGGAGTGCTGCAGACAGGAGGAGAAACTCAGCATGAAGAGTGCAAATGAAGCAATCTGTAAACAGCAGAACAGGAACACTGATCTCAGGCCTGTTACTGGACTTTAAATGGCATATGACTACGTTAAAGCTGACCCATATGGGGTGATTGAAACAAGACTGAGAGGCTGAGTCACCAACAAAATGGCGTTGCTTTTAAATCTTTAAATAAAGGCAAAATAAAATGTGTTATTTTTGAAGCAGCTGCAACGAGTGAAATGTGTTGCCTAGCAAATAGCAAAACGTGTTATATGCAAACATTTGGCCGAGAGGGAAGATGGTAGGGAGGTAAAGCCAGAGATATTAATTAATTACAATCCATTTTTAATCATTGAACATATAGTTGAAATAAAAGTACCTTTTTTAAAGTAATTTGAAATAAATAAAACATGCATTTTTTCACCTCAAAATAGAATTAAAACAGCATTAATTGATTTAATTTAGAACAACAACTACTACTCAACTACTACATGATAATTGAACGCTGCAGCCATATTTGAGATTATAATGAATTCTGAGTTTTCTTTATGTGGTCCAAACATGGTTGTTACATATTTTCCAGAAGGGTTTCTAATTAGATCAAAACCAAATAGTTTCCTGCTTACCTCGGCATCTTCTCCACTCCCCCCCCCTTTCATCACGTTAATGACCGGACTAATCATCCTTTCATCTTCACTGAAGACGTGAGACAGCGCAGGTTTGATCTCGCTAACTGAACAGGCAGTAAGTCAGTCCTGTTATATTAAAACTTGAAACATCACGACAACACTGGCAGGCCTCAGAGCGGCCATTGTAGAGAAATAACAGAAGCCTGAATGCCTTTACACACACACACGTGAGCAAGGAATATAACGGTACACTGATCGGTGTTGAGTCGACGTCTACTGCGATTCAAATGTAGAGGTAAATCCCCCGTCAGCACAGATGAATGGAGGCTAAATAAGACCTGTGTATGCAAGTAAAAGTCCTCAACCATCAACTCAATGTTACTTTATATTTAGCTTGTGATTGTTGTGTTGACATGATGAACCGAGCATCATTGTACATGTATAACCAAAATGTGTTGACCCATAATTACAAACATCACAAACAATTACTTCAACTTTGGTTATCTTCTATTTCTTCGGATGGATCTGGGACGATGAGGGAAAAATCTCTGTATAAGCTTTACTATGGTTATCAAATGATCTGGTGAAATCTGTGATTTGTAGTAGAACAGTATTCACGTTGAGTAAATGTAACCCTTTGACTGAAACCCATCTTTTTTTTTAAACAGTCTTGGACTTTTCATGGCCAAACCTACACTGAAGGAATTGAATGATGCAGTGATGACGTACTTGTGAAGGCTGACCCTGAAGTTAGCATCGCAACAACGAATAGCAATTGGATTTTCCCATTAGATTGCAGAAATAATCTCTGTAGCAAACCAACGTTTATGATATGTACACGTTATGTTCAGCAGCATAGCTCCACATATTAAAACCACTTTAGGATTTTTGAAGGGTGGATGCAATCACCAGAATTAAAACGCTAATATTAGCCGCTAAGCTAAAGGCGGCTAATGTTCAGCGGGACGATATTTAGCATCTCATTTAGTCACTTGTTAGTAACTGCCGATTTTAAGACACACAAAAGCTTCGGACATTGAAGAGTAGAGTATTTACTGAATTATTTATGTTGTAGAACATTAGCCTACATTACCTTAGCTTTTGTTTACGTTACCTTAAAGACGGGGGAACCGTAAGTGCTAAAATGCTAACAACAAATTTGAATGTTGAATTTTAGAAAACATCCAACAGCCGCACTTTCATTTACCTACAAATAAACACCCATGTCATTATTAGGAATTATTACATGGTTTAGTTGAATACTCGATTCTGATTGGTCAATTCAGAACACGTGACACGTTGTTAATCCAGAGCAGACAGACCGCTGTCAAGGACTTATTGACCGTTGTTAAGGACGCTCACATCTGCACAAAGAAGTCCGTTCGATTTAACTGTATACAGTTTGCCTAACTGACAAGACAAGAGCGACAAGAAAACAGCGGAGAAGTAACGGGGTAGAAACCCTCCTTTTTACGCAGCGGTCCAGACATAGACATCAAACGGCGACACATATTCAGTTGCCAGTTACTTTGGCATTAGGGCAGGGATATCTAGATACTTTCCAAGGTTTGACATAATGAATTGTGCTACTTTTAAAACAAGCAACGATGTTTTCAAATCTGTAATCAAAAAGCTCCGCCTTCCTGCCGTTGCTACGTTTTTCAAACGGTAACAACGGACTATTTTTCTTAGCGGATGCATGTCAATTTAAATCAATACATACAACTATTTTTAAATCATTTTCTAAATCCATAAAAGCATTTCAATTACTTTGTTGAGAATGTGGCCATGTAATAAGCGGGATAATGTGCAGCGACTTGGTCATTATGGGGAAAAGAACACCGACAGGCTGATCAGGAGCCCGATGCAAAGCGGAGGGATCTAGATCTGCATGAAGGTGTTATTTACATAAAGGTGTAGCTTACATAAATGCCAGTGTTGCACAAGATTCTGCACATACTTGCTTTCAACAAGGCCCCAATGTCGACCATGTTGTTTTTGTTCCAGCCTTAGCCCGATGACTCAGATGTCTTTGGAGAGGAAATGATTTTCAGTCAGACGATGTGACGGGTCACGCCAGCTGACTGATCCCAGTGAGTGGAAACCGATATGAATATGGACAGGAAATGACTGGAAAATCGTATTTTAAGACGAAGTGGTAGCTAGGTGGGCAGCGGAGGCATCAGGCTCTTTCACACAGTGTGAGTGTGTGTGACAGAACATATACGCTGCTATGTGTGAATTATGTATATGAGTGTAACATGCAGGAAACGCTGAGGTTTATTCACCAGGGATCGGACATTATTAGTGACATTAATCCTCTGCTGTAACAACTACTAACAAAACAGCAGTGGCAGCTTACTCCTTGTCAACCTCTTATTGATTACATTGGTATAATAACCCACAAACTTGCTAAAAACTGATATTTTTCCTATATAGATGCAATTCGAGCATATACTGGGATTTCTGCAATGGTTAAACGCATCTTCACAAATGATTTGACTGAAAATCACGTGGATTGCACCATATTTGAGTTTGCCATGGACTAGAAAACAACTCAAAATCACAATCTAGTGCTATGAATATTTCAAAAAGTTACAAACACACACTTTGTGATTTCTTTTTCTGACTGCATTGTTTGGATTCCTCCACTTACATTCTGTAGCAATCGCTCACAGACAGGAGCCCTGCACCTGCACATGTGTTGGCATCCTTCCCCTTAATCCCTCACCGACACACACACACCGACACACACACACACACCGACACATCTACACATGCTTGCACAAAGGCTTAGAGGCGGTATTGAACCTGCCTGTGTGTGTCCACTTACAGACAGAAAGGCAGCAGAGACAGCAGGGTCTCTTTGGTGGGCCGAGCTGTGAACTCCGGCAGCGTCTGGATCAGTTTGTTCATCACCATGCGAAGGTAGCCCTGCAGCTGCTTCCTCCTCTCCTCCACAAACTTGGCATCCTGCAGACAGAGAGAGAGAGAGAGAGAGAGAGAGAGAGAGAGAGAGAGAGAGAGAGAGAGAGAGAGAGAGAGAGAGAGAGGAGAGAGATAGAGAGAGAGAGTAGAGAGTATATAGGAGAGAGATCGACGGTAGGGATGAGTGGATGGTAGAAAGAAGATAGTTACAGCATAAATGGTGCATGGAAAAAGCTACAGAATAGCCAAAGGATAAAGCAAATAAACACAAAAGCTTTCCATTAAAGAGGCCCTATTACACTTTTTTTAGAGGTGTTCCTTTAGTGTAGTGTGTCCTAAAAATAATTCCCCCCACATATTGTAACTGAAAGAGCTCTGACTGCTGAATGATTACGTCTTGTAGCTACTCCAGGATTCAATCTTCCATCGGGGCTTTGCAACTGTCCTTCTGTCAGTACAAATAAGGGCTGTCACTATATCAGATTTTCACTACATGATAAAAGAACCCAAACAAATCGCACTCATGTAATTGAATAGGCAATTTCCATGTTTCCCAATGCCCTCTTTCTGGTTTACATTAATACACAGGTAAGTCCTCATATACATCCCTGTATATCTTACTAAAGCCACAAAGCGTCCTACGAAATACTGCAAGATGTATCCAAACGAAATACTATGACATGCCAACAATAACCAGAAATGGCTTAGTAAGATCAAGATATCTTTCGAAAATGTATAATAACAACTAGGGATGCTCCGATCGATCGGCCGATATTCACTCTCTGCCGATCGATCGGTGCTCTCTAGAAAGGCTGATCAGGAGAGCCGATCACATGACGTAAAATACATGACACTTTTCTCTGTGCGCGGCAAAACAAGCTCGCCAAAATGGCTTCACCGGTCTGGCAGTATTTTAAGGTGTCCGAAAAAGACAGCAAAATAGCGGTATGCAACGTGTGTGTGTGAAGCAGAAGCAGCTCCGCCCGCTGTGACGGACCGGTGAGCGGAGAGCAACACACACACTAAGAGTTAGACCTAACACACTTAGCTATTTTATCTACCTCTGGAACAAGCTGAACTAGTTATAAATATGTTTATTCTTCACTGTCGGGTCACTCATTACTGGATCAGTGAGCTGCAGGAGACGATACTGACAGGCTGTCAGGAGAGGGAGAGAGGGAGAGAGAGAGAGAGAGAGAGAGGGAGAGGGGGGAGAGAGAGAGGGGGAAGAGAGAGAGGGGGAGAGAGAGAGGGAGAGAGAGGGGGAGAGAGCGCTTCCGCTCATTTCTCCCGTGTTATTCTCCAAAGTGAATGTAAACTTGAATAATGTACTTCATTTGAATGTAATAATGATGTTGGTTGTTGTTTGTGGAAGCGCCAGTGAGTGAGCCCCATTAACTGAGTTTTAAACATCACTTTAAATGGAAGATCCCCATAGGCCCCGCCCACTCGATCGGATCGGTATCGGCCGATACTGATTCCGGCGATCGGCCCCAAAATTGGCGATCGGAGCATCCCTAATAACAACAATGATATCTGTAATTCATATTTAACTTTGTTTACAGTATGTGCCACAAATACTGTATGTTTGCAGTTTAAATCCACTACACATCAATAAACCATGCCTCCAAAATGAAAAGTCACCCATGAAAAGCAATGCTCCACCATTGATAAAAAAACATGCATGTTTGAGGATTAACACACCTCAGTATTTGAGTTTATTTTGCTGTTTGGTTGCTGATGTTGAAGAGAAATTGGACATATGAGCATTCAGACTTCCCTCAGAGCGACTCTGGAGGCACGGAGCCACATGGCGAGAGTTAGCGAGGCTAATCTGTGTCCGGCAACACTCAGAACAAAGCCTGGGCACCGCTCCGTTTACTCTCTGGTGTTTGGGACGAGAACAAACAGCCCTTAGAGGAGGCCAACATTTACTGTTTGTCAAACTTTTGTTCCTCTTTTGATCTAAATCCCATCTCCCAAAGGAACTCAATTGTCTTAAAATAAAGATGTGGATCTTCTGTGAAAGAAGCGCTTATTACCACAATTTTAAATACAAATTTACAAATGAATCAAAGAAGAAACTACTGCTTGTTTATAATTGTGTTAACATCTGAGGCCCACGGGGACTCTCATTTGCTTCGATGAAAGTCAAGATTGCACTGCCCCAAATTTGAAAATAAAGAGACAACACAATTCATAAAAGATATAACAACTTCCGTATAAGATGACGTCCACAACTTTTACAAAAGTTTGCTTTAAAGAGGCCTTTTTATGCTTTTTGGTGTTTTCCCTTTTCTTGTAAAACTTGCGTTTCTATTGGCGCTACGACACATTATGGGGGCGGGGCTTCTCTAAGCGGTTGACCAATCACAACAGATCAGAGCAGACTGGGCTCTGGTTTCAGACAGAGGGTGAAAAGAGGTGCTGCAGCACAGGCAGTATGAGAAAAATAAAGAGCTTTTTGAACATTAAAGCATGGAGACATGTCACTAAATACTAATATGAACCTGAAAATGAGCATTATACGCCCTCTTTAAAGGTCCCCTATTATACTGTTTCTCATCAATATATTATAGGTCTCAGATATATACAAAGCATGTCTCTGAAGTGTTTGGCTCCAAACACCAAACAGATCATTGCAGCATCCCATAATCCTCTCTGTTTCAGCCCTGTTTCAAAAGTGCTGATTCTCTGTCTGTTACTTTAGATGAAAATAAAACATCGTTATGACATCATAAAGTGGCCAAAATCTGACCAGCTCATTTTCAGACAGGTTTTTATATAAATGGATCAGGACAAAAAGTGAGTGAATCTTTTTTCCTGAAACTTTCAGAGTCTCTTTCCACAGAGGGGACACATGTTGATGAAGAAGAGACATGAAGAAGAGGGGACACATGTTGATGAAGAAGAGACATGAAGAAGAGGGGACACATGTTGATGTAGAAGAGACATGAAGAAGAGGGGACACATGTTGATGAAGAAGAGACATGAAGAAGAGGGGACACATGTTGATGTAGAAGAGACATGAAGAAGAGGGGACACATGTTGATGTAGAAGAGACATGAAGAAGAGGGGACACATGTTGATGAAGAAGAGACATGAAGAAGAGGGGACACATGTTGATGTAGAAGAGACATGAAGAAGAGGGGACACATGTTGATGAAGAAGAGACATGAAGAAGAGGGGACACATGTTGATGTAGAAGAGACATGAAGAAGAGGGGACACATGTTGATGTAGAAGAGACGTGAAGAAGAGGGGACACATGTTGATGTAGAAGAGACATGAAGAAGAGGGGACACATGTTGATGTAGAAGAGACATGAAGAAGAGGGGACACATGTTGATGTAGAAGAGACATGAAGAAGAGGGGACACATGTTGATGAAGAAGAGACATGAAGAAGAGGGGACACATGTTGATGTAGAAGAGACATGAAGAAGAGGGGACACATGTGATGAAGAAGAGACATGAAGAAGAGGGGACACATGTTGATGTAGAAGAGACATGAAGAAGAGGGGACACATGTTGATGTAGAAGAGACATGAAGAAGAGGGGACACATGTTGATGTAGAAGAGACATGAAGAAGAGGGGACACATGTTGATGTAGAAGAGACATGAAGAAGAGGGGGACACATGTTGATGTAGAAGAGACATGAAGAAGAGGGGACACATGTGATGAAGAAGAGACATGAAGAAGAGGGGACACATGTTGATGTAGAAGAGACATGAAGAAGAGGGGGACACATGTTGATGAAGAAGAGACATGAAGAAGAGGGGACACATGTTGATGTAGAAGAGACATGAAGAAGAGGGGACACATGTTGATGTAGAAGAGACATGAAGAAGAGGGGACACATGTTGATGTAGAAGAGACATGAAGAAGAGGGGACATATGTTGATGTAGAAGAGACATGAAGAAGAGGGGACACATGTTGATGTAGAAGAGACATGAAGAAGAGGGGACACATGTTGATGTAGAAGAGACATGAAGAAGAGGGGACACATGTTGATGAAGAAGAGACATGAAGAAGAGGGGACACATGTTGATGTAGAAGAGACATGAAGAAGACGGGACACATGTTGATGAAGAAGAGACATGAAGAAGAGGGGACACATGTTGATGTAGAAGAGACATGAAGAAGAGGGGACACATGTTGATGTAGAAGAGACATGAAGAAGAGGGGACACATGTTGATGTAGAAGAGACATGAAGAAGAGGGGACACATGTTGATGTAGAAGAGACATGAAGAAGAGGGGACACATGTTGATGTAGAGGAGACATGAAGAAGAGGGGACACATGTTGATGTAGAAGAGACATGAAGAAGAGGGGACACATGTTGATGTAGAAGAGACATGAAGAAGAGGGGACACATGTTGATGTAGAAGAGACATGAAGAAGAGGGGACACATGTTGATGTAGAAGAGACATGAAGAAGAGGGGACACATGTTGATGTAGAAGAGACATGAAGAAGAGGGGACACATGTTGATGTAGAAGAGACATGAAGAAGTGGATTTTGCACAATATGCCCTCTTTAACGCTTGGCGCACTTCCTGGTGGCTTTATTGTTTTTCCTGTTTTTAAAAACATATAAAGACATTTTGTTGAATGAATTCATTTCATATTCCCAGCACAGAAGTGAAGGCAGCGGCCTGCAGGGTGGACCAGGCCTGGGTGAATGTGATGTGTCAGATTAGGCTGCGTGTGCCAGCGTGGGTTTCATGCTATGTCAACACAATAAGGGACACCCTGACTGCCTGCATGGATGTCAGGGCAGTAATAACACTAATGGACATGGACTGGACAGAGTCATCCTCTCGTGGAGACGAAGAGGAGGATGAAGAGGCCGTCTCTTGTTTGCAGAGAGGAAGGAGAGGGCAGAGCAGAAACTACTGTGGCATATTGATGCAGGTACAAGGCGGACTCTGTCCTCCAACATCTTGTCTGCTAACAAACAGCTTTATCTTTACACCGCTCTCTCCTCCCCCTCCAACCCAACGTCTCTCCTCTCCTCACCGCTACGCTGATCCGACATGAAG